GCAGTAGGTTCGCGACGAGAGAAATAGATATCGTTTCGATAACGTTTGGACGGTATTTGCTCCCCGCGCCCCCGCCCGTGAGAGAAATGACACTTTGAACGTTGCCGCGTATCGGGTTGCCGAAACGACATCGTGAAAAATGTCGCCCCGACAGCGAAACGCCACGAGGGGACGGCGACGATGACACCTCGCGCGATAGTTTGGAGGGATCTCTTTGAAAACCATTTTGGGGCTGGGGCGAGAGCCAGGGCGAGGCACGCGCGACTTGGACGCGGGAGAGGGTGGCCAGAGTAGAGGACCACGCCGGGCGCCGGGGATCGGAAAACCCAACAAGACGCACTACTTGTGCGACGGCACGCACTTCGGGCTGCTCGTCGAGGAGGACCCCGTTCGAGTCCCGAGGCCGTTTAAAACTCTAACGCATTTAAAATGTGTGGCACTACAACATTTTTAAAAAGTGCAGAAGAAAATGCACATTTGCTATATCCAGTTAAGAATTTTGTCGTTTCCACGCTCAGCGCGCGCTCACGCTGGCGTGAGCGCGGAGGGCGAGAGGGGAAGCGAGGGGCGAAGAGGGTTAGCAGTTCTTCCGCCGCTGCCTCCCCGCACCCTGCCCCTCGCCCGCCTCACGCCGGCGTGAGCGCGCGCTGCGCTAAGCGTGAAAACGACCAATTCTTAACTGGATATAGCAATTCAAAGGAATGGATAGCAGTCATGCCACAGCCGAAAAATGTCGAGTTAAGACACGTAGAAAATAAAGTCACTAGTTGTTGCGCACAGAAAAGGGTTCGGCGGAGTTAGTTGTCACACCAGCTTTCTGCGTGTGACTTGGCCGTTACAAAGTCTCTTTTTTGCGTGACCTGGTCGTCACACTCTGCACAAGCACTGATATTGCAATGTCACACACTTCAACTCGTTGAGCACACGACGTTATCCTAACGGCGTTGCGATGGGGTTGAAGGGAGGTGCTGGCGCTGGTCACACGACTGCTGGCTGTCCCGTCCCTCACTCACTACCGGCACACGCACTGTTCACTATCACTAACCCTCTGGGTGGAGCGAGTTGGCAGTGCCTTGTCTTGTCCTGTTGTTGTTGCTGTTGCCGGGCCCTGACTGCGACTGATCGGTGGCGCACGCCCCGCTATGTATAGCCTCCGTCTGAACGCCCCACCCCGCCCCGCCTCTCCCCGCCCCGCCCCGCCCCAGCGGGGGGCTACAAATAATCGACACCCAAAGAAGGGAGCTGCTGTGCCCACCTCTCTGTACTCGCTGCGAGTGGTGTGTACGCTCGGCGCCCCGTCGATAGCGTGGTGGGGGTATCGGGGAAGGAGAGAGGGGAGGAGCAGCGAGGACTTTCTAGGCTTGGAAAACTTACCAAAATTTCCTGGAAAATTTCCCGGAAATAAAGGAAGACTTTTCAAAGTCTAGGAAATTTTCACATTTTTTACGGGAATTTTTCGTTTTTTTTTCCGGACATTTTCCGGAAACTTTTCTAACGCTTCCAACGATAGGATGTTTGTTTGGTTGTATGTGTAGGTAGGCTACACCGCGAGGTTCACACAACGAATAGCAATTTGTGCGTTTTGAAGTGCTGGGAACAACATATCAAAAGATGGCGATATTTTTTGGGGGTTCCTTTAGGGAGAGGTAAGCTAGGTCGCTGGGAGAGCGACACTTGATTATATTTTTTTTATCGTCCCCTGGAGTGACAGCTCGCATTATCTCGCCTCTATGGCTCAGTCGGTAGCGCGCCCGCCCAGAGCGTGGTAGGTTGGTGGTTCGTATCTTCGTCGTTCTGAAATTTTTCCCAGGCCACCAAATTTCAAATAGACTTGAAACCCGCCGTGTCACCAGGCACCCTTCGTGAATTTCCGATGGCGTAGCGGTTACCATCCTGCTGGCACTGCGTCGAAGGTGACAATGACCTGACTCTGGGCAGGGACAGGGGTTCGACTCACGGCGAATGCAGGCCGTAGGAGTTCCCTGGTTCCTGGCACCTTGCTGTGGTGGCGGGTGCGTTTAAAAGACTTAGGAATCTGTCTGTAAAGGAGCTCCATGACTTGTGGTGTTTTAACGTTTTAACGTTTAACGCAACGTACGCGTCAACCTTCTCACAAACCCCGGGAGTATGTTCTGACCACTGTGGTTCGGCTGATCCCCTTCCGAACTCAAAAGTCGGTCTGCGGTGGGATGAGGAAAATACTCCCTTATTTTTTTTTT